TCTTGCCTTTTATCAAAATCTTTTTATGCTTTGTTTGCTGCTTCTGTAGTGTTGTTAATCCTTCTATTTTGACATGATCTGAAAACATGACTAATTTACTGCATGTCAATCACCTAAATTCTGGCATAGTTAGTAAATTAGTAAAGTTTTCAGATCATGACAAAATAGAAGGATTAACAAACACTAACTATGCCAGAATTTAGGCGATTGACATGCAGTAAATTAGGAAAGGCAGTGGTTCTAGGGAAGATCCAAATAAACACATTTCCCTGAATTCCTACTGCCTATAATTTGATAATTTTTCCTTTGAGAAACTTTTTCAAAAGTTTAAAAGGAAAAATCTGAATACACCTTATCATATACTCTATATATCCTTTACTGTTGTCTTATTCCAATAATTCTAATCAATTTAATCCGTTGGTTACCTTTTCTAAATCCATGTTGATTATCTCCTGGGATGTTATTTCCATGTAGGTAATCCTCCAGCTTTGTTCTGACAGAAGTCAGATTTATTGCTCTGTAATTACATGTTTTATGACCCTTCCTATGGATGGGCACTACACTAGCAATTCTCCAGTTCATAGGTACTACCCCTATCTTAAGCGACTCTTGGACGTGTAGTGGCAATGGAATGACATCTCTTATTTTCTTGAGTGGAAACATTGGGTCAGGGGATACTAAACAGACTCCATACTGAAAATCAGTAATTAACAGATTTTCCAGTGCTCTGTGGCAAGTGTTAACTATGAAACAAACTGTGAGGTTTTTATTGTTTTTTCTCAGATGCAGAATGTAACCTTTACATGGTCAGGTGATCCCTCACTCCACTTTTCCTTAAGCATTAGGGAATGAGTGTGAATATGTTGAATTTCATGCACTCAGAAGAGCTGAATCTTTTCCTCAGATGGCTTGATTTCTTTACTGTGTGTTTTTCATTGTTTTTAAAATGTCTTGCCAAAAGCATTAGCAATGTACCTAAAGCTGAACAGTCTTGATGGAATGGTGAAAATATTTAAAAAAAAAAAATCTGATGTCAAAAAACTTTCTACTTTAAATCTGGGAAGGTTCAATAAATGAAAGGAAGAAGTGAACCATTTTCAACGCTAGGTGTAAGAGCTGCTATGCTCATTTGTTCCTTGCTTCATATCAAGTACAGTCATTTTAAGTGTACATTTGATATGCTCTATTTCATTAATATTTAAACTTAATTTTAATATGCAAATGTACCTGATTTAGTTTGTATTATTTGTGTGTGTTTTTTAAAATTTAATATTTTACTGCACTTATGTAAGAGATTAAGGTGTTGCTAGGTTACGCTGTCCACTTCAAGAGCTATTATGCATAAAGATAATTGCTTTTAAAACCTAAAAGCAAACAAAAGCTCTCCTCCCACTAAATCCAAATTGCGAAAGGATGCTGAATTAATTGTTTTCTACTTAACGACACCCCCCCATTACAATAGGAAATTCCTTTTGAACAGACACTTACTCTGCCAGGGACACAACCAATAAGAAGTTAACCCCTTGTGATTAAGGTTTTTTTTCAACTAATGAGATCCCATAGACACATCAGATAAGACCTCCTGCCCTTTCCTGTAAAGTACAGGCCGTACTCAAACTATTGCAACTTGGATTTGAAACAATCTTGATCGTCTTGTTGCTAAGCTGTAATTTCAGAATTATAAATATCACAATGACCAGTGATAAATATATACATTGTAGTGGACAAAAAGGCAGCAACACCAACGTTAAGTCACTTAAAAGGGCATTGGGCTTGTGTGCATCATGGTCCAGAGTCTGTCAGCATCTGGGATTCAGCACAAGGAATACGGAACCATTCTTCTTTATAAAGTCAATCAACACATTTATGGTTGATGAAGGTGGAAAACTCAGTAGTCCTTCCAAATTTACCCATATGGATTGGGTTAATATCTGGCAGCTACGAAGGTTATGACAGAAGGATAACATAAATGAACCTTCGAACCACAGGGCAACCACATATGTTCTGTGGATGGGGACACTTGTCATATTGACACCCCCTCCCAGCAGGAAAGTTGTAAACATGTGGTGATCTCTTAGTTCCTCTAAGTAGTACCGTAATTAGCATTGCTCTTCCCTTCTAAGTGAATGAGTGCACCCAAACCACACCAGGAAAATGTGCACCAACAACATTACAGAACCACCAGAACCCTCCACTGCTGGAACCAAGGACTCATGGCTATAGAGTTTGTTAGATTTGTGCCACACATGCCTCGTCTGTTTGTTGAGAATACGGTGAAGGATGATTAGTCTGACCATGTCATTAGAATGTTTGCAGCACTGGACTTACACATGTTTATTTCTAGGATTAATCAGCAGTTTGTGCACTGTAACCTAACTATGGTGTTCCGCTCTGTGGAATTCTCAGTAATTAAACTGCCTACTCACACCCCAAGTTGAAATTTGCGTCAGCATGTTGAGCTGCCTTGGTCACTGAAGCTTCTGCCGAACACTTCCCAACAATCGTACCTCGTTCAAATTCACCGAGATATCTTCTTACAACCATCCTGGCCACGATTATAGGTACCCAGGCTTGTCCAGCATTTTCATACATGACCCTGGGCATGCTGGGATTTTATTTGCTTAATTAACACATAAGACGCATCTAACTGCCCCATATCTACCCAGTTGTTTTCACTTTTTTGGTCACGAAATGTATCTCACATATAATAAATCTCTGCTAGTGCATTTTACCTAAGATCTTGTTTTTACCATTTGAAAATCATCCTGCTTGAGAAGGCTTATATTTA